TGGCTACCTACACAGTGCCAACTATGATTGAGTGTTGTTTTATGTCCATGGCTACCTACACAGTGTCAACTCTGATTGAGTGTATGTTTTATGTCCATGGCTACCTACACAGTGCCAACTCTGATTGAGTGTATGTTTTATGTCCATGGCTACCTACACAGTGCCAACTCTGATTGAGTGTTGTTTTATGTCCTTGGCTACCTACACAGTACCAACTCTGATTGAGTGTATGTTTTATGTCCATGGCTACCTACACAGTGCCAACTCTGATTGAGTGTTGTTTTATGTCCATGGCTACCTACACAGTGCCAACTCTGATTGAGTGTTGTTTTATGTTCATGGTTACCTACACAGTGTCAACTCTGATTGAGTGTTGTTTTATGTCCATGGCTACATACACAGTGTCAACTCTGATTGAGTGTTGTTTTACGTCCATGGCTACCTACACAGTGCCAACTCTGATTGAGTGTATGTTTTATGTCCATGGCTACCTACACAGTGCCAACTCTGATTGAGTGTATGTTTTATGTCCATGGCTACCTACACAGTGCCAACTCTGATTGAGTGTATGTTTTACGTCCATGGCTACCTACACAGTGCCAACTCTGATTGAGTGTATGTTTTATGTCCATGGCTACCTACACAGTGCCAACTCTGATTGAGTGTATGTTTTATGTCCATGGCTATTAACCTACACAGTGCCAACTCTGATTGAGTGTTGTTTTATGTCCATGGCTACCTACACAGTGCCAACTCTGATTGAGTGTTGTTTTATGTCCATGGCTACCTACACAGTGCCAACTCTGATTGAGTGCTGTTTTATGTCCATGGTTACCTACACAGTGCCAACTCTGATTGAGTGCTGTTTTATGTCCATGGCTACCTACACAGTGTCAACTCTGATTGAGTGTATGTTTTATGTCCATGGCTACCTACACAGTGCCAACTCTGATTGAGTGTATGTTTTATGTCCATGGCTACCTACACAGTGCCAACTCTGATTGAGTGTATGTTTTATGTCCATGGCTACCTACACAGTGCCAACTCTGATTGAGTGTATGTTTTATGTCCATGGCTACCTACACAGTGCCAACTCTGATTGAGTGTATGTTTTATGTCCATGGCTACCTACACAGTGCCAACTCTGATTGAGTGTATGTTTTATGTCCATGGCTACCTACACAGTGCCAACTCTGATTGAGTGTTGTTTTATGTCCATGGCTACCTACACAGTGCCAACTCTGATTGAGTGTATGTTTTATGTCCATGGCTACCTACACAGTGCCAACTCTGATTGAGTGTATGTTTTATGTCCATGGCTACCTACACAGTGCCAACTCTGATTGAGTGTATGTTTTATGTCCATGGCTACCTACACAGTGCCAACTCTGATTGAGTGTTGTTTTATGTCCATGGCTACCTACACAGTGCCAACTCTGATTGAGTGTTGTTTTTATGTCCATGGCTACATACACAGTGCCAACTCTGATTGAGTGTATGTTTTATATCCATGGCTACCTACACAGTGCCAACTCTGATTGAGTGTATGTTTTATATCCATGGCTACATACACAGTGCCAACTCTGATTGAGTGTTGTTTTATGTCCATGGCTACCTACACAGTGCCAACTCTGATTGAGTGTTGTTTTATGTCCATGGCTACCTACACAGTGCCAACTCTGATTGAGTGTATGTTTTATGTCCATGGCTACCTACA